CTCTACTCCTGCTTGCAGCCTTTTCTCACTTGCCTTTCAATGTACTCGAGGATGAAGTCCCTCTCACAAACCTTCAATGGGCTTGTGATATTCTGACTAGGGGTCATGTCCTTAATCCCCTTGCTGATTGAAAATTTGGATTTGCAACCAACGGCTAAGAGAGAGAGAGAGAGAGAGAGAGAGATTAGTGGTCCATACTCTTCTCCATGCATGGGGCGTGCCAAAAATATATGTTGGCTTTTTTGGCTTTCGAAGGTTGCTTTCGTAATTATGAGCGTGCCAGCAAGGATCAATCAGTCCTTACAGAATTGCCAAACAATTATTCAGACGATTGTGTTATGGTTCTTTCGGCCTCAATAAAGAGGACTTTTACTGGTGGCTTACTGGTAATTAAACTTCAGAAAATCTGAACATAAGAACAGTTAACTAAACTGGAGTATTTCATTAGTATAAAAAGAACTTACAATGATCTCAGTTCCGTAGAGAATTACAGCGGCAATGTACTTGACAACTACTCCGACAAATGAAGTGCAGCGCAGAAACTAAAAATACAGGAATATAAAGGACCGGAAATAATACTGGAATATGTAAAGTGATTCTTTAGATTTTTCTCCGTCCCCTTCTCTGAAGTCCTTCCTGCTATTTATACTCTCCGAAGATAACCGTCGAATTGTACTTCAAACCGTCGAACTGCTCCTCCGTAGTTGCTGATCATGCTACCTTATAAGTAGTCCCACTACGCCTTCTCTTGCAGTTAGGCTCCCCCCTTATATTTGAATTTGAAATGTGAGCAACCGTTGAAGCCACGTCACTATACGTCTCTTTGTTGATCTGCTACTACTCAGATCTTATAACAACCAATATTAATTGCCACGTGTATGATCAGGATCGAAGACCTACCTGGTCTCCCCATATTACCCTCACTTCGCCACGCGTCAGATTGTCACTGGCTTAGTACAAAATATGTAGCCAACAGTAACATTACTTAAATATTAAATCTTATCATTTAAACCAATTACTATTAATTTAGAGCACATCTAGGGTTATTCTAGAAGCACTGACTAATTTCTCGCATTGGCCAGGGAAACCAGGTACTCCTTTTCGAGCAAGGATCCTCCAGAGTTTTTTTTTCCTAAAGTTTCCTAGAGTGGTGCATTGTGTGGGTGAGATTTAATGACAAGTCACATCAATTTTTCAACATTAAATCCCAACCACACAATACACCACTTTAGGAAACTTTAGAAAAAAAATACTCTAGAGGATCCTTGGTGCTCCTTTTCAACAACTCTATTGATTAGTCAATTAAAGTTATCTAATATTCTCAGAATATCACGTCTTTGTACTCTTTAATTAATTATCATTTAATATATTTTTTCATATTTTTTAATCACTTAATATAATAATCTATCTACTTACTTTTTTTACGAATTACAATACTATAAAATACGAGGTGTTTATATTTCAAAATTACTTTGAAGGACTTGTCTTGGTATATTCCCATAAAAAAAACAAAAAATTAGAGACCAGTTTGTCTCTCAAATAGATTAGATTGGTGTAGTTTACTATCCCTTGTTATTAATTGTTATTTTATGGCTCATAGATTATTTATGAGAAAATTTATATTAATTTGATAATTATAAATATGTAATTTTATTATGTTGATTTTTTAAAAATATATAATAAATATAACTTTAAAAATGTATTAATCATTTTTTAAAAATAAATATAACAAGTGATCTACCTATCAAAACTCATAAAATAAAATATAATAAAAAAAAATTTGAAATCATCGAAATAGAATCGTAATATGCCTAGAGAAGCCAAACTGAACTGGTGAAGTCTCTATAATAATTAATGTTACACAGCTTAATTTTATTTATTTTTTCAGCAGTGATTTAGACCCCCTCAAACTTCAACTCCCACCACCCCCGACACACACGTGGCGGATAGTGATTAAGAGGAGAAAAAAAAGAAAAAAAAAAAAAAAAAGTGACCAATCAAAAAAGAAAAGGGATCAAAAGGAATGGAGGAAAGGGGGTCCAATCTTTATTCTTATTTTTTTATGTTAAACACGTAAGTTGAAGGAGTGTCAAAGAGTCAAGAAATGTTTTTAAATAAAAATATAAAAATCAGAAATAAATAATGTATATATGTATATATATTGTTTGGCAAGTGGCTCTATATGTGGTGGTGGGGTGTGGACGTTGTCGTATATCTTAGCTTGTTAGGTGGGAAAAAGGCAAGTGGGGGTGTTTATGTGAGTTTCTTGTTGACCAAAAACAATGGAGAGAAGTAGAAGAAAAAAAAGTATGCATTATTCCCATTCTTGCCATAATCTGCTATTCCTAGCTGTTTTCATTGCTTCTTTGTTTGCTCCAACAACAGTCACAGCCACAGCAATAATATCAAATGAATTCGAAGATAAACAACAAGAACCAGTTCCAGTTCCAAATCCAATTCCAGTTGGGTACGGTTACGTAATCAGATCGGCGACGGTCAGTCCCTCCGGGAAGTCTCTGACTGCTCATCTCCAACTCATCAAAAACTCCACTGTTTTCGGGCCTGACATTCAGAGTCTCACCCTCATTGCCAGGTAGTTTTCCAATTTTCCGTAAAATATTTGAGACCTTAAAAAAAATAACCACAATGATATGATGAAATAAAATATGTATTTATTTTTAATTTATTACACATTTAATAATGATTGGCTTTACTCCCATACCACATCTGTGGGTATATATGCTTCCCGGCTCTCTCTCTCTCTCTCTCTCTCTCTCTGTAGTTAATCCTGTTATGTAGATGATTGTAATTGATACCATTCGTCCTGTTTGGTTATAAAAAATTGAGTTTACTTTTCAAAAAATTGAATTTTTTATTTTTTTATATTTTTTATTTTTTGTTAATTTTTTAATATTTTATGTAATTTTTTTATTTTTTAAATAAACTTAAAAAATATAATATTTGTGAAAAAAGGTAAAAAAAAATTCATCAAATACAAAACTATAAAAAAATCCAAAAATTTAATACATTTTCGTATGTTGTTCTATTCAATAATTTTTGTATTAAGTTTTGTATAATTTTTTTACTTTTAAGTATATTAAGAATAAGTGAATCTAAAAATTAAAATATTTAAAAAAATCATTAAAATAAAAAAAAAATTGTATTCAAAATTTAAAAAATTATTTTTGAAAATTAAAAACCAAGGTGATTAGTTCTAATTGTTAATAGTTCATCCATTTCTACCCTCTTTATTTTATTATTTTATGTGTTAATTTAATTGTCAAGTAAAATGCCCCACCTAGTAAAACCCAAGTTCGGATCCTCGGTCGCCCTTGTCTACAGCCCTTCCCTATAGCGCCCCAAAACGACGTCATTTTGGGACAACTTTTCAAGGAAAAAAAAAAAACAGAACAGAACTCAGAAAGGAGATGAGTGGGTTTGAGACGGCACCGCCACCTCCCCACCATTGTCGCCGTTACCCTCCTTTCCTTCCTCTCCTTCCTCTCTCTCTCTCTCTCTCTCTCTCTCTCTCTCTCTCTTAGAGATCCGTTTAGAGTTCTAATGAAGAAGAAGAAGAAGAAGAAGAAGAAGAAGAAGAAGAGGAGGAAGATAAAGGAGGTGGGGTGGGTTTGAGTGCTGTGGTGGTCGAGAGAGAGACTTGAGAGAGAATTCAAGGTTTTGATTTTTTGGTGATGAACTTTGATTTTTCATCATATTTTTTAGCCCATGATTTGAGAGAGAGACTCTCTCTCTCTCTCTCTTAAAAGTTTTACTTTCTCTCTCTACAAATACTCACTCAGATCGTCTCTGAATTACTCAGCAGCCTTCATACAATTGACTTGAGCTCTGAGGTACACCAAAAACCCACAAAATTATTTGAAATTATTTTCTTTTAATCAAATCGGTTTAATTCTGAATTCCCTGTTTCTGAATTGGGTGAATCGTGCTTGATTTGTTATTGTTGGCAGTTGTGATCTCTGTAGGTGTATGTTTTTCAGAGATTTTGATTGGTTTCACTCTGTTTTGTACTTAAATTGATGTGAATTTGGTGGGTTTTGAGTTTGATATTTGGGTTTTGATTGTTTAGACATGGGTTTTCTATATGTTTATTTGTTCTTTTGGTTTGTTATGTTGATGGAAACAATCAGAGATAAGAGATGTATATTTGTTTTTTCATAGCATCTGCTTACATAGTAGTGAATTGGGCACAATTCTACTGATTATTTGCTTGAGAGAGAGAGAGAGAGAGATAGAGAAGAGGAAGGAAAGGTGGGCTGCAGCGGCGAGGGCAGGGAGGTGGTGGTGCCGTAGGTGAAGGAGGCCGAAGGTTGCCGGCTACAGGGGTCGCGGTGGTGTGGGTTACCCAACGCTGCCCTCTTTCTTCCCCCTTTCTGAGTTTTGTTTTTTTTTTTTTTTTTTTCTCCTTGAAAAGTTGCCCCAAAACGACGTTGTTTTGGGGCACTACAGGAAAGGGCTACAGACAAGGGCAACCGAGGATCCAAACTCAGTAAAACCCATTTAGTAGTCTCCTCGAGGGGGAAAAAAATCAACGCATCCAATGGCTAAAACCGTATATTTTAAGCCCAAGATGAAAATAAAATAACAATAAATTATTTAGATACATTTATAACGAGTGATAATTTGTGTTATGCACGGAACTTTATAAATTAAAAAATATATATTATAATTATTTTGAAATAATTTAATATTTTACTTTGTAGTATATATAAAATTTATAAGTTAACTTTTATGTTTATAACTTTTTAAATTATTAGTTTAAAAAAATTAAAATATATATATATAAATCTATTTGGTGTAATTTTGATAATTTGTATTAAAAAAAGTTAAACCTGATTAAATAAGATTAAATGAGTATGACATACCTCTTCTTGTTATGAAAATATACAAATTTAAAAATTATAATTAAGACAAATATACAATTTTATTATTAAATGTGAAGTGAAGTGATATTTAACAATAATTAATATAATGTTTCTATTATTAATCCAATAATTTAAGTTAAATTTCTTTTGATTTCAATTTCAATTTCAATTTCATAACTATAAATACAATATGGATATAATACACATACGGATTTTTAGTCTTTAAGAATAAGAAGGTTTCAAAATATTTTTAAACTTTTATCATTTTCTTTTAATTTTTTTATTATCTAATTTGATTTTAAATTCGAATAAAAATTTTGATTTGATATGAATTACTTTAACTTTTTTATTTAATTTTTATCAATCTTTAAAAGAACTTTCATTCTTATTCCCAATTTTTTTCTTTTCACCAATTTTGATGGAAAAAACATAATTTTCAACGTTTCATCTTTTTAAATTTTTATCAAATTATAATTTGATAAAAAAAAATTAAGGGTTGAAGATTCTCTTAATTGAAATTATAGTGAAATAACATGTTAAAATAATCAAAGTTTGAGTAAGTGATTGGTTGAAATGTATAATTTAATTAATTCTCTTCTCATATTTGTATAAAAATTGACACTTATGACTACATCATTATAAGTCAGATTATGGAAAAAAATTTGAGGTGTCAAGCATTTTCCATTAGTAAATATCCTACACATTAAAAAAAGAAAAAAAAAATGTGTAGCTTTTGGATATGTGTTTATCAATTTTGTTTTATGGACATAAACAATTGATGTTTCAATTCAAAAAATTAAAAAGTAAAAAAAAAATAAATTGGATTTTTTAGAGATAAAAGAAGTCATCTAACTCTTCTATATACTATCTAATATGGATTATTTAATCACATAAAAAAATAGAAAATGTAATGAGATATTATTCCTATATATTATTCTATTATATACAACTATAACTGTAACAAATTAACTATAATATATATGAAAAGTTATATTAAGATTTCATTTTTAATTAATTGAATTATAATTAACAAACTAACAAATAGCAGTAATGGTGTAATGGAATAGAAAAAGGATAAAAATAAAGAAGTTATACAAAAATCTAATGTTATAGTAAAATCTTGAATTCTCAATAAATTTTCACATTTTCTATAAAATAAAATAACAATAAAAAATAAAAAAAAAATTGATACCCATTTTTTTTTACTTCAATTTTATGGTCTTCATTGAAAAAAACAAAATCCGATCAAAATCTTTGGCACAGAACAAATATAGATACTTCGATTACAATCATAATCACCAATAATTCTTCTCCATCATGCAAACCTGTAAATAAACACATAAACCTCACTAAAATTGAAACCAAAACGAAACCAACAGTAAAGAAAGAGAATCACACAGGGAAAAAAATAAAATTAAAAAACAAATAAATTTATAGAGTATGAGAATGTTACCTCCAACAATTTTAATCTCGTCTAACCCAATCCGTTAGCTCCTCCACTAATTCCCATGAAGTCTTGGAGTTGGGATAACTATTCATACTATTCCTAAATAAAACTTGAAAATTGATTAATTTGCCACATTAAGTGATTTAAAATTTTATTAGATATACATCATAAAAATAGATAATTATATTATTAATCATAATTCAAATTTAGATATTGTCATATTTTTTTGAGATCCATATCTAAATTCTTATCTTTTTATTTTTGTGTGGTGCATATTTTTTTTCAATTTATTTAAGATGGAGTTGTGGGTTTTTATTTTTTTTAAATTTAATTTATCTGTGGTTTCTATTTGTTTTTAATTAATATTATTTAGGTAAGTTATGATGCGAGTTAAATATGTGATAGATATGTGAGTTTTATTGATTTAAAGTATGATAATGGGAGATATTTTCAAATCAGATTTGTTTAAATAGATTTTATAGATTTTTAAATTTTAAAATTGGATATTGAGAGGTAAAAGAAATATTTTAACTCAATAAATAAAAATCAAATTTATTAATTTTATTTGTTTGTATGTTAGATTTTAATTTTTTTTTTTTTTTTGTTATGTTATAATATAAAATATAAGATATAGATAGATACCTATAACTTTCATAAAAAATATTATCTGATTTTTTGGAAGAGAGAAAAGGAATGCAAATTTTTATATTTTTTTTTTTGAAAATGGGAAAGAGAGATTATGATGGAGAGATTATGAAACATTTTTGTTATCTTTCCATTTGAAGTCTATAAATTAATGAATTATTATTATTTCTAAAATAATTAAATAAATAAATCAGCCAATAAATTTTTTTAATCTATTTTATAAATTGAAAAATTAGTAATTTTAGAACGAGAGATTGGAATTCTTAAGAAGTTTCTCATTAGAAATCTCTTTTTTTTCTTATATAATATATAGATATAGATATTGACGTGGTTAGGCCCATAAAGGCCATAGCCCACTACGAACAACCCAAGCCCATCACTTAGAGCCCAATACACAACCCAATTGATGAGGTCCAGAACAGCTGGAAACCAACATGACACGAAGGACTAATAATACCCAGGCACGCGACAGGCAAAGGGCAAGCCACATCAGCAGACAAAGATCTGCAAAGTTATTGCCACTGCACATCGCCATTAATGCAGCCCCTCACAGCATTTATTACGACAATACCTCTTCGTCGGAACAGCACACCCTCACCCTGAACAAAGTAAGCTACA